TATCGGTTGTCAGGATGTAATCACGGTACGTCCTGTCAACGAAAAATCAATATATCACCGTGAAACCCGGCCTACAAATGTCATTGTTTCGCTAGACTTAATTGAAAAAAGGAGCTTTTCGAAATGCTATATCAATATTGCTTATATTTATAATGAATGAGAATTTTGCTTCAAACAAAAGAAGCTGTTGGTTTTTGTCACAAAAGGTGTCTTTTCATAAACAGATATACAAGTAGGGAATATTGGTACTGGGTGCTGCTCCAGATTTATTTAAAGCCATTCTTGTTGCCTAAACTACAACATCCCTATAACCTACAGCAGTATCTGAAATCGTACTAAATTAACAGTGAATTTATCAAATTGTGTTTCATTTCATCTCAATATTTGACCATTTTTAACACAAATGCGTAACATGAAAAGAAAACGCACAATAAAAAAAGAAAAAAAAAAGAAACAAAATAAAAAAAAAACGCATTGTCTTCGTCTCACCGTATAGATTATTTTAATCTCTCCTATATGTGAGCCATGCATTTGTGACAGCTATTATTATAGTATGCAACCATATCATATGTATATATAATAAATACCAACGACGAGCACGGAGACGTGGTTTATACAAGGCACAGAGCATATCAATATCTCCCATAAATTTATTATAAACTTCAACTATATGGGGTCCTATTACGTCAACATTAGTTTTATTTGACCTGACATACCACACTTTTTGGTTCTATACCAACATAATTGCAAACAAAATTTAGGCCTACAGCCTTATTATCATACCATCAATCATATAGTGATAACAGCCTTAAAGGAGCTAAGTCTCTAACTCAATATCATCAAAAATCTTCAACATTGAAAACACGATTTATTTGTAAAATTACATCAACATTCATGTTGTGATCTTACCGGAAAAAGATGGGCTTTTGATATCCAATATTTAAGACAAAATAAACATTTTACCATTGGTACACGAATCGTGTACCATAATGCGCTTCAGCCCCAGTTGTATCAAGAGACTCGAGGGACGAGGCTAGATACATTGCACCATATCAAACGGCGTATGTAGACTGGAATAACCAGACGCTAGAAATTTGCACTCGCTTGAGACTGCTGGCTTATTTCGCCGAACATAACTGATTTGAAATTGGAGTAAAAACGGAAACCATTGAATGTAAATCAGTTTATATACATTCATATTACAGTATTATATGCGTTGCGACCCACTTTTGTCAATTTCTAGGTCCAAAATGTTAGCGATTTAGCTCCTTTAACAGTGTCAACTCTATAATCAGTAGAACCCCCTCCCTTTTTTCTTTAGTTCTTTTTCGGGGAGAAGCGTGCAATTTTTTCATTCTGTTTGCCCTTTTTGTACCCACATAAAAAAAGCCATTTGCTTTCAGTTCTTCTAAAAGAGGTAAACCAGTGAGAAAACTGCGAATATTTTAAAATTACGTCTATTTGGAGGTGATTTTGTTAGACTCAAGACTATCTCCCCTCCCCTTCCAAATAATGATGGTTCAGGGGTACCAGTGTCAGGTCTTCTGTCCTGATATACCCCAAAATCACAAAGGAAACCAGATACACCGCTTCCGCCCCTCATCTTAAAACCTCATGTGTGTGACTTACCTGGCACGCACTGCTTCATATTTGAGCGACCTTTAAAGGGGACGATAATTTCGTCAACTGAATGACATTCTTTGGGTGTATTTTTCAGGCAAGAAGTCGTCTTTCTGTTGTTGAATCTATGGTCGAAATTTCCAAACTTTGTCAGCTTGTTTCTCGCTATCAGTGACATTATTATCTACAAAATATATATTTGTCATGAGGATTTGAAATCTCGAACGAGATATGACATCTACAATGGAAGCATAGTGGAATTTTTGTTGCCAATAGCAACGAATGTTGCCAATCTTAACTAAGCTCATGATAGATAAACCCCCAGAAATTGCTCTATTATGTATTCACAGAAACTATTTTTTTGTGTACTATATAAATTAGTTTAAAAGGTCAGAGTCTTGCATGCTGTCAGTGACGTAGTCTTTGTAGTACGAGTATGCAGTTTTGTTCATTTGGGGATTGGGTTCTAGGATTTCATCAGGAAGAAACGTAGTTTCCGGGGGTTCTAAATCAACTTTTCCCCAATGATACCGATCATTTATTGTAAATGCTGCTGATTCTTCATCTGGTTCGCTGTCTGAAGTATCATCAACGATATTCGATTGAGCTAGGTTGTCATGTATTTGAAATTCTCTGTGATTGGTCACCTAAGATCACTTTTGTCTGCATTTAATTTTTCAAGAAAATCTTTTACTGTGAAAAATCGGGGCTGAGTGAAAACAGAAATGTTATGCTTGGAGGTGATTCGTGGGTGGGTTGGGGTGCATGAAACAGAAATAAAGCTAACGAAGTCGGTTATATGCGCTACGCAAAGGACTATGAGGGAATTTCTGTTGCTGGAAAGTCAATTTCATTATCCGTTAGCAAACGAACAGATAAAGTTAATCCAAAAGAAGTCTGATTGTTCATTGGCTGAATTTTTAAATCCAAAGTACATGTTTAACAACTTCATAGAAGTCAGTATTAACAAGAAACTGCAGACAGTGGGACAACTGTGCAATCTGTTCGCAAAACTTGATTAAAGACAAAAAGATAACTGTAGAATTTACTACAGAAAACACTATAAAAAAATCTTTAGGAAAAATCATGGGATTTGCACTACAGAAACTGTAGAATATTTGGGACCATTATTTCCTACAAGACCCCAACATTTTGTAGAATACTATAGAATTTCATCCTATAGAAAATGGAATAGCCTCCCATTGGTCAAACCCTCTAGAATGTTCTATAGAAAATTACACTGGTAGTCCATGACATTTCGCTAAGGCTATATCTAATGCCATCGTTAAACAGATAGCGGAGAGAGAGAGAGAGAGAGAGAGAGATGGGGTTTAGCGTCCACTCGACACAAACTAGGTCATTTCGGGACTAACACCAACAGATTGTGTGGTTGAGGGCCCACCTGCCAGGAGTCAAAGAGGGCATATTTTACATCATTTAAAATGGTGAATTTCACAAACACTTTAGGAAGGGGCTCCAACTGACACCCGTCCCTAGGTGAGACTGGGTGCCAGGTGTCACGTTCCACATGATGATCCCGGACTGCTGTTTTACAGTAGGTATTTTAGAACTATCGTCGGCTCATTCGCCTGTGTTTAAATTAAGCCCTATTGGTTCAATTTGCAAAAAATCAGAATATAGTCTATTACAATTAAAAATTTAATGATTAATTAAAAAGTAATTCGTTAACTTCTTATCTTTTCCAGTGTATAATAAATTGTCATCTAACAAAATGCCACACCCACCTCCCAAATGTTTTTTCGCTAAACACCATGTACCTTAAATTCTATTGGCTGAAAACGGTGTCATATTTTATTTAAAGGTAGTCTAATATTATTATATTACATCATGGATCGTATATATGTACCTGACATCGTTTCTGGCATATAGCCAAAATATAGGGGAATCCCCTTACGCGCATTGCACACCCGTATAGTGAGGCCTCGCAATCGAGTGGGTCATTCCGTGTTGAGCTGCTGCACATGAAGGAGATTTAACGGTTTGAAAGAAAAACGATGTTTGATAGATAAGAAACTATTTTTCATTCATATAAGGTGAGTAAATAACCATTTTTATTTTAGATTGAACAGGGAGCTACAGTTTGAATTGCTTTATTTGACTTCCTATCAGAAAATGGCCACCGAACTTTGCTTTGGGGTTGTAGTAACAAATACGCAAGTTATTCAAAGAGAATTATATTCCAAGGATCCATGGCCTTTATTTTATTAATTGCGAAGATATTTAGATGTCTTTGAAAGTATTGGAGACTGAAAATATGAATAATTCACATCTCTATGAAAATAAATCGGGTTTCCCCAGTAATTCATTGTATACTCAGTGAAAATATTACATTACAAATTGATCCTGAAAGAACCGCTGATTCAATGTCCAAACAAATGAATAAAGTGAAGTGGAGTTGTTAATGATTTAGCATTGTTTATGATCGCCAGGGTATTAGATATTTTTTAACAGTACTGAACGTTGTTTGTGTATCTTGTGCTACTTTTCTACAATTAGAGAGGGTATTTCCGAATGTGTATCTTGTGCTACTTTTCTATAATTAGAAAGGGTATTTCCGAATGTAGGACGTTTCGACCAGTTGAGATTTCCTTAAAGACATTTCGGCCTAATATATTTCGTGCTAGAATTTTTCGTCCACTCTTTTTTTTTTTTTTAAAAAATAAGAAGATAAGAAGACGTTTCGGCCATTTGTTTTATGTATTCTTCAACAGATTCATTTGTTTTTATTTTCTCATCAAAAGATTTATTTGTTTGTTTTCTCCTACAGATTTTTTCTTTTGTGTGTATTATACTTTAAGTGGGCTTGAGTATATCTGTGCAATTACAAGCTCAGCCAAATATTGAGAAATTATATTAATGTAAAAACTAAATCTTTTGAAACTTTAGGATAAAAGTGGTTGGTCTTGTTTGATGTCTTAATTAATTAATCAATCAATCATAAATTAATTAGTTTTTATTAACTATGAATACTATTGTCTAGCAAAATTTAGTAAGCATATAGCTATTTCCGGTACGCCCTATAAATGCTTCAAGAACTTACTTCACTCACTTTCAAAACATTTTTTTCATAAATAATAATAATAAAATAAAAGAATTCATTAATTTTTGAGATGAACACTAAAAAAAGATAAAATTTGAATTCATTGGTAAAAAATTTTCTACATTGTTTTGTAAAATTGGCCGAAACGTCTGTTAGCCGAAATGTCTATAGGCCGAAATAACTCAAGCCGAAACGTCTAGTGACCGAAACGTCTATCCACCGGTATTTCCAATTCAATCCACTGCGAAAGTGCGTGTTATTTATAGACCGCCACCTTTCTCACTCTTTCTCGTTTTTCTTGCCTTTTGCGTAACGACTTCTGTTGACTTTTGGTGGGAATCAAAGAATAGGGTTTGATTTGACATTTTCTGCCAGGATTTGGTGTATATTCATGATTTTTAGTCGGAAGAATAACGGAGTTACAGTGCAGGTTCATTATCATCCATGATGCATGATGATGTTCGACGGCCTACTTCAAATTTTTGTATGATCGCAAAATTACCATGGTCAACCTGACATAATTTATTGACAAAGGGATCATATTATTTGTATACAGCTAAAACAGAAATAAGACTTGAGTTTTGTATTGGGAATTCCAAAACAGACGGAACTGGCCGTGAATCTATAATTAGAAAGGGTAATTCCAAGTTTTAAATATTTATATCTCTGTATAACATAACAATCAGGTAAGAGTAAAGGAATGGAAGGTTTTGGTCGGATTCCATAATCGTCCACCACTCACATTAACAGCATAGCATCAACAGTGCAATGATTTAATTAGTGCAGTCTGATATAGATACATGTGTAGGCTATATAAAATACATGTATGTCTATGTTACCTATGTATGTAAGATAACTTTTATCATGCTCTTCTCAAATAAATACTGTATGATAAATAACATACCATGTACTCATTTAAAGGGCGTATGGCTCTATATTTTGGAACCTTAAAATAGACAAAAATGACTCCAAAAGCACATACTAATGGTGTAATATGAATGTATTTAAAATGATTTGTCTTCAAGTTTTGAAAAAAATATTGTAATTTCTAATCAGTTATGTTCGGTGAAATACGTGCACAGTTCAAATTGAACGACAGTTGTTTACTCCTGCTTAGTGCATTTTAAAATTATTTTGACGCCTGTGAATCAGCCTTTACTAATTATACTTCCACATTGTGTTGTAGGATATGTTTTTATTTGTCCATTACAAAATGTCACTCGAAAACCATAGGGTACTTTCGTGTACTGATGTTAATTGTGTCTTAACTATTGGATATTATATCAATTCTGAATTCTAATTTGTGTTTTTTAATTCAAATATTATGGAAAATATTGAGTTAGAGACTTGGGTCCTTTCAGTAGGTGAGCATATGGATTTGTGATAATTAAGATAATATCAGGAAGTTTTTGGGGGTATGATCAAATGATTAACATTTATGTTCTTGGTTGGAATAATAAATGCCCCTACTTACTACTGAAACCTCGTTAGTTGTTAATATTGAATTAAAATTTGGTTAAAGTATTAGAATAAACTTCACAAAATAGAGAGAGAAAGAGAGAGAGAGAGAAATGGGGTTTAACATCAACACAAACTAGGTCATTTCGGGACTAACACATGGTTCAATTTTATTTCAATAATTCACTTGCGCGTAGGGGTCTTTAGCAGAGGTTGGACAGGCGACCCTGCTCCTTGTCACATACAACCAGGGAATCGAAACCCCGCCAGTTGACTCAATAACAGACCGTATGATACAGCGTGCACGTTCTAAACATTTGGCCATCCACCCCCATCTTCACAAAATAGTTGACACATAGGTCCCTCCCAATTGTGGACATTAATTTATTTAGGATACATCAATGTGTACAGTGTAATTATAAGTGCTGGTGAATGATGTAGGCTTTCTTTTTAGAACCAAAGTATTTCAAAGATGGCAGATGAAAAGAAGATATTTATTGAGCTGGGCAGAGACTGTCGGTATCAGAAGTTCAGATACCCGACTGAAAAAAGAACGGGTAAAAAACAACATGCCAATAAATTAATGACCATTACAGTAAGTAGACTACTTATTTCTTATGTAGACTATACACTATCTTGTTTTGTCATACTTTTTTCGTTTATTTATTTTCATCAGAATTATTATTTCAGATACAGCCAGTACATTATCCACAGGAATCTGACCTTCTTTCTGTATATATGTATACACAATACCCAACTAAACTATATATGATATATTTATTATTTATTGTTTAGTTGTGTATTGTGTATGAATCTATACAGATAGAAGGTCAGATTCCTGTGATTATTTAGAGGCCCATGAAGCCCCAGTCGGCCCATTTCAGATATATTATAGTTCAGTGCACTTATAGTAGATTATTATTGTATGGTCTCAATGTCGTTGCACGGGGGGGGGGGGGGGGGGGGGGGGGGGGGCACATAAAAATTCTCTCAGCGGCCCTGTTGTAAAGCCACAGAGAGCAGTCAACTGCAAACTGACTGAAAGAATTATTATTTATTATTAGAACCATGTTCAAAATAACACCACATATAGGCCTATTTACAATATGAATCCCATTTGTCTTGTTGTCTTGTGAGTTAAATTTGCTAGATACACTTACAGATATACAGCAAAACTACAAACCATGGCATTGAATAGTAGCCACTCCTCAAAATATTTATGATGAAAGGGAGATAAATCCATTGAATCTTTGTATACCACAAACCAATTTAACAACATTTTTCAAACAGATATTATGTGGGCCTACATTTACTGACATTATTTAATGTAGGGTACTTAACCAAAATACAAAACATTTTAATGCTAGTTCTTCCTTTGGCCTTTTTATCATATTAACCAAATGGAAATGTCTTTGAAAGTTTTTAATGGCACACTCATGGTTAAGTTCTGGACCTTATGCACAGTGTATTAATAATGAGTGATATACTTCCTCACAAGTCAATCAATTATTAGGACCATGTAAATACAGATATTTGTTCGCAAAAACAGTATATTTTATAAGATAATTCAATCCATGCACATTTTTTTTAAAGGGGGGGGGAAGGGATGGCCGAATGGTTAGCATGTGTGCATTGTATCATAAGGTCTGCCATTGAGTCAACTGACTTGGTTTTGATTCTCCGGTTGTACTTGACAAGGAGTAGGGTCGGCTGTCCAACCTCTAGTTTCGATTCCCCGGTTGTACTTGACAAGGAGTAGAGTCACCTGTCCAACCTCATGGGTTTTCTCTGGGTCCTCCGGTTTACTCCCACTGCTAAAGACCCCTACGCCCAAGCAAACAATTGATATAAAATTGAACCATATGTTAGTCCCGAAATGACCTAGTTTGTGTCAAGTGGACATTAAACTCTCTCTCTCTCTCTCTCTCTCTCTCTCTCTCTCTCTCATTTTTTGATTAATTCAAATGTTAACAGATGCCATTATAATGTAATAACATGTATGAATTGAATTATAAAAGTTAAAAAATGAATATATTTTCTATAAATAAGCTATGTACATAATGAGTAATTTCTTTCTTTTGTTTCAGTTAAAGAATATACAAGAATCGGATGTGGAAGACAAAATGAAAGTTTCAATATTTTGTGTTACTGATGATCAAGAGCACCGACTACATCCTAATACCTTATTAGGTAAAAACTGCCAGAAGGGTTTTTACCAATCTGCATCTAAAACCAATATAGACAAGAACAGCGAAAGAGACTATAAATTTGAGTAAGTTACCTTTGTTCCTCAATGAATTATAGGTCAGCAAGTGACATTTCGTTTTTAAAAGACTGGTCCCACTTGTCAGGGGTATTGTATGCGGGGGTGTCATGTCAAGTGTACTATTGTCCTCTAATAGGAATTGTCATAAAACAAGAACTCTTCTTGTTTCTGTCATTGCATAATATGTGAAAATATTAAATAAATTGAAGGGTCTCAAAATGGTTGAGGTGTTTACTCCATTTCTTTGCTTTTATTACCCAGCTTTACCTTCCGCCCATTAATTCCTATACCTGATTATTGTTTTATTTCATGTTAAGTAGTAACAGGTGTTGTGTATACCACTTCTAGAGTATTTGAGAAGTTCATATATAGCTAAAAAAATTTGATGTTTTCCAATATCTCTTCTAGTATACCATATCTGTACATATTGCGAACCAAGAATAATGAAAAGATGAAAACATTGAGTGAGACAGCAAAATTATTACCTGAAACTTTTAAAAGTAAGTAATTATTATGTACATTTGATAGACCTATTTAAAGATGCATTATGTAAGAGCTAAATCTGCCTATGGCAGGTCTTTTTTCTGGTTCAAAAATAAAATTATTATTTAGACATTTATTCACATGACATGCCCATAATCAACTTTCTAGAGTATTGGATGGCTGAGTTATTGAATGGATTAGAACACCTGCACCAATTTAGTAATTTAATGTTAAAGTGGTTTATTACCGTATCAACTATCAACAATACTTGACAATTGGGACTATTTAAGCTACATGTTGTCAAAACTTCGAACACTCATAACTTTGCTCAAAATAAAGTAATTTTCATTCTATTCATTTTGCATTATCTATTTTTGAACAATTATAGCAAGAAAGACCAGTTCTTTACTGCGATATTACTGAAATTTTGAACATCACAATAACCGTAGCGACCCTAGTGCATAATTTGAGTAATCATATGGTAAATACATCATTACCTGTTACCGGTATTCATTTTTTTATTATAAAAGTTAACTTTAATCAGGGTTTTATGAGGCCTGTCATAATTAGTAGCAAGGTTTAGAAGTTTGTTTTCGAAATAGCCTCTAAATTATGAGATTCCATACAATGTTTTCATCCAAAAAACATATTTCCGACTTTCGGTATATTTATTTAATGCTATGTGCTTACTTTCAGGTAGTTTTGTTGATGATAAAAATTTCTATAAAGAAATAAAAACAGATAGTGTATGTTTAAGAGTTGTGGTGGAATTTGGTGACACAGTGCTGTCCGAATTATCTGAAAGAATAACTCACCATGATGGCGGTATGTTTTGGATACTTCACTAATTATGTGATTTAATAGTTGTTTTTAATCGGAATTCAGTATGCATGATCTTTCCAGAACATCTTATATTATTATTGTTGTATTATATCTATAAACTCCTGATTTTATGTTTTATCTATGAATGTACATTTTACTATCCTTCTATATGCTTGGGTGGTTGGATGGCTGAATGGTTAGCATGTGCGCGCTGTATCATTAGGTCTGTCATTGAGCCAACTGACCTGGTTTTTCTCTGGGTCCTCCGGTTGTACGTGACAAGGAGTAGGGTCGCCTGTCCAACCTCGTGGGTTTTCTCCGGGTCCACCAGTTTCCTTCCACTGCTAAAGACCTACGCACAAGCGAATTATTGAAATAAAATTGAACCATATGTTAGTCCCAAAATGAACTAGTTTGTGTGGAGTGGATGTTGAACCCCATTTATCTCTCTCTCTCTCTCTCTCTCTCTCTCTCTATATATATATATATATATATATATATATTACTTGCATTCTAAATTTAATTGGGGCATTGGTTCCCCATACATATTCTGGATATTTTTGGTCTCATACATGTAGCTGCATATTGTGACAGATGACATGCATGGGGCAGGGTATGCTTTAGTGTTACTATCATTAGACTTTGAAAGTAATGATGTCCTGTGGCAGGTTCATGTTGCTGTTCTGGGTTAATTTGATCCATTAGATTATTTTTTATTTCAAAAGGCTTTGCCATTGATATTTATTGCCTTTGTTCTTCCTTGTTTTTATTGGGCCATGTCCATTACTGTTACAGTGCATTTTTCCTATGCATGGCAATTCCATTTTATTTGGATAAGTGTTTTGAAGAATAAATGACTGAATTTTTTCCTTAAGGTGAAAAAGTGAAGCTTAATATTATAAAAGTTACTCAGTATTCTTTTGAAGCTGCCAGTGGAGGAGATGTGGATTTGTTCACAGAAGATAAGATCGGACCAAATATTACACCAGGTATGCATACATGTATAGTAAATCTAATTCATGACAATTTATAACAATTAATATTGTTTTATAGGTTATCTTGGTATAGTATATTTATAATAGAGTTTTTTGTCTTTACTGATATATTGCAGGAGATTATGAGGTACGCGTAAAAACAAATAAATGGGAATCAGAATGGAAATCTTTGACGTCTGAGGACATTCTGTATAAGGTAGGCCTACTATTAATTAAAGATGCATTATGTAAGATTTAGGTAAAGAGCTAGCCATTCACTCAGAATTGAACTTAAAGATACATTATGTAAGACTTAGATAAAGAACTTGCTGTTCCTGCAAAAATCGTTCAAAAATAGATAATGCAAAATGAATATAGTGAAAATGGTTGGTAGAAACGCAGCTGTTTGGTCAAAATTTCCCTCTTAGCTCCTTACAGAACAGTAAGTAAAGCCTGACGCAGACGATGGAATATTTTACCCGAACAATTTGTTCACCGTCTGCGGGTTAAAAAAACAGGATTAAAAATGTTCCAACAAAATGTTTGTGAAAACAAACTTCTTAGATATTTGGAAATTGTTATCATATGACATTCAAAATGGCAACCATTACTGAAGAAATTTGGACCCATGTTGTCCAACATTGCCGCCCTATATAATTATTATAATCCTAACTCTAACCCCAATTTGAAAATAGACTTATTACCTCCGATCCTACTGAAACGGCGACTTGAGTGAAATTTTGGTTGGCGGAAAAAGAACAAATTATGCCGACAGAAATAAAAAAGATTCTGATTTTATGTGGAGCTTGTTTGAGCTAAAACACTTGTTTGCTTGCGGGCAATGGTTGTTGTCTGCAGACAACATAAACACAAATGCACCCTTATCCGCATTAGGCTTTACATGTAAAAAATTTGTGAAGGGAGACAACTTCATTTATAGACGTATTGAAATTAGTTTCACCTATTTCTATTACACTGGTGTCACACTTGGCTCCTGTCTTTGCCTATATGAAGGGAAATTTGTTAAATTCTATGCTTAAATGTCTTTCTAAAGATTTAATGTAAAATGCAAACTGTAAAAGTAATTTTTTAATTATACCAGCTGAAACTTTTATAGGCCATACATCTATATTAGACAACTTTACAACATTAATTCAACATTTCTGTGACATCCCTCATTTGTGTGTGGTTCATATGATGATATTTAGAAAAAGTAAAAGACAAATATGATATGTGACTTGGTGCAAATATTAAATTTAAGGAATGCTTACCCTTTCTAGAACACCTTGTAACACTTCTGCGGGGGGGGGGGGGGCTTGTTCAGGAATTTCAGCAGGTGATGTTGGGGGTCCAAGATGGAGAAAACATCTAGTTTTATAAAATTAGAAGCTCTGAGACAATACTTCTTCTCAATTAGGTACACACTGTACACATATAGGATTAGACAGTATTTGGGCCAAAATGGTGGAAATGCTTCGCACTTTATTTTGATGAATGCAGTAGAAAACAATAGCTCTGTGTAAGCATGGAGGGGTCCACTATCCCCCCACCTCTGGACATGAGTTCTGACTGACAAACAGTTGCTATACTAAGTATTATTTACAATCTCAGCTTACTTACATAAAAATTTTGCAGTTTATTCTGAAAATTGTAAACTTCAGTTCTGATGTGTGATTCCGTTTGTAATATTTTTTTTTCAAGAGGGTGGTTAACTATAAAGTTCCACCATATAACAATCAAGAAAGAATTAGTGAAGATGTGACAGGAGAAATAGAATTAAAGTGTTTGAAGAATGGCACCTCTTGCCAAATAGACATAATCTACAGACCATGTCATGCTGATAGAAAGAGGAAGATGCTTCCTTATCCAGGTTTGATAAAATTATCTAATTGTGCACTGAGGGTTTGATTGATCGTCTCTCTGTTTGTCACACTTTGTGTTATATACACATCCGACAGTCATTTCACAAGAAGTTTAATTAAAACTTCTGCCACAAAGATCAAAAAATATAGAAATCCCCCAGACCAATGTTGATATTTTTACCATATTTGAAACACCTGGTATCACTTTCCCTAATGAGGACTTCAGCTGCATGATTTTACTGAATTTTTAATTGCAGATTATAAACAATAAATATGCACCATTTTTTTTTAAACCTGCGAAATCCAACTTATTAAAGATACTCTTTGTGTATTTTCAGATAATCCTGCGGCCTGTAAAAAACCTCGTATAGGTACGATATTTTTATTTTTGCTATTTATAGACCAGCCATATACAACCAAAAATGTTTGATGTTCTTGTCAACCATGGTCAGGGAGTGGGGTGGGGTCATGTGGTATCTACATGTGCTTTATATCATAATTGTAAATTGTTAGTCCCAAAATGACCTAGTTTATGGATGTTATGTTTTACCCAATTTCTATCCCTCTTTTTTAACATGGTGAGTAGTGAAATTCCAAAGTAAAAACATTTATAAAACAGATCATTTCAGTATTTTTTATTTTAAATCTATTTTAGGTAAACAAATATATGAATATATTTCTGATTCTGAATCCACTTCGCCTGCAGAACCAGATGATGTTCCACAACTAGCAGGTTCCAGTGTTGTAGAACATAACAGAAATCATATTGCAACAGATTCTGAAACTGGATCCAGCTATTTTGTTTCCAATGGCATCGAGATACACATTCCACCTGATTCTGACATATTGGAAGTGGCAAGTGGTTCAAATATATATTTACAGGATGAAGCTCTTAGCAGTGTAAATAAAACTATTATATTATTTGAAGCTCAAGATAAAGAAGCTACGGTGGAAGATGGACAAACTTATTTAGTGAATAATGGTGGTAGAAATTTTCGACATGGAGCAGAAGAACAAACTCATGCCCGGTCTCATATAACAGAATCAGAACAAATGGATACCAGTGTTCAACTACCAAACATTCCATCCCTCACTGACATAGATAAAGAAAAATATCCTTCAATGGAGCCTCCAAATGAACATCAGCAAGAAACACAGAGAATGGAAGAAATTTCGATGCAGAATCAGGTCTGTTTGAATAGTACAGATTTGTCAATGATTGGTAATTCTGCTACTTCATGTTTAAACTTAGACAGTGTAGACTTACAGAACGGTTGCAAGGATTTAGTACAGTATATACAAAATGTACGGAACTCTACAGTAAAAAGTTGATCTGGGCAGTTAGAAACATAGATATACTTTGTATTACCGTAAACAATATTATTGTTAACATTAGGTAATCAAGGGAGATAACTGATATGGTGTGATGAATATGTTTCTTTACGTAACTGTAAGTATTCTGTAATCAATAGCCTACTTTTTGTGAACATGTTAGCTGTACAAAATGCAACTGTTCTGTAATTAAATCTTCAGCAGGAATTTAGCTAGTTAAAAGAGACCATTTTAGTTAGTAATAGGTTGCGCTACCAACAACTTGGGTGGACTTTTGTCATTCATGCAAAATCATGTTGACGAAATCTGGATGATAAAACCTACTACTGCTTTAAAGGTAGGCTAATATGATGAAGTGAGAGTTTGAAATTAAGCTTGGTAATAATAATACATACATTATGTGGATCGTAGACAATCTGAACACTTATCCATATAGACAGGCCAGGAATAACGATCTTTGATTTACCAGACCAAATATCTGGCACTGTTGAAAACATTTTAATCTTTGTGCCAGATATTTATTAAAAAATATCAACCACAGAAAAAAGAAAAATTGTTGTTTGAAAAAATGACATTCTCCAGAAGAATTGTGCCAAATAGCCTGAATTTGTGCTTGACAGTGACAGGTGTTATATATAAGTCGCAGAGTATTCAAAGTTATTTATGAGTGAATTGTTGTTTTGTTCTGCACTGTGATAAGTGCCAGTAGTGATTACAACATTATTAATATATACCAGTATATGTATCATTGTCTTGTGAAATTTATAGAAGCATACAGACTAGTGCTGAAAAATTTATGTTGAACAAAATAAATTGGATGAAAATGAGACAGTTAAAATGTTCTAAAGAAAGAGATATTAAATAGTGTTCGGATATTATTTTGACAAGAAATAAATTTTTGTTCCTTTAAAATAAGTTAATTTTGTTTTAGTCCCATGTGATATTTGTGTAATTCAACCTGTTTTCTGCTGCATGTATTTCTGCTGTCTCATTTCTGCCATTTTTGATTGTCTGTCTGGCAGACTCTGTCATGTATTTATTTTATATTTTGTTCGGCAGCTATGTATATAATTATTACGTTTACAGTATTTTGTTTTAAACATATACCGTTTGGATACAAAAATAAAGTGGAAAACCCCTTCTGAGGAGAATGAGAGCTTAAATTCCCACCATTTATATTCCTAGATTTTACATAATACTTCAACAGGTGTAAATAGTTTTAAGTGCTATTAGTAAATTATATATTTGGATACTAAACAAAAAGTGTTTTTAGTAAATTATATATTTGGATACTTAACAAAAAGTGCTATTAGTAAATTACATGTCTACATATATTTACTATAAAAGTGCTATTAAGTATTAGTAAATTATATATACCGATACCTGCTTAGTAAAAAGTGCTATTATTATTTGCTTTTATTTTAGATTGTTGATTATTTAATGTTTTTATCTGCATTTTTGTTAGCAATTAAAATGTTTTAAAAAAATATATGATCTATATTTCCATGATCTAAAACCATGTTTTTTGTAGTTTAAATGCCCATTTTGAGTTTAATTCATACATGTACATACACAAACAAATCTGATCTTTGAGTTTATATTACTTATCAATTGATGGAAATGATGTCAGATTGGGTACAAAGAGAACTGTTTTGTTGAATTCGTAAATTAATTTGTAAAGCAATCAAATTAAAAATGTACCATTATTAATACTTAAGTGCCATATAATGTATATTTTATTAAATTGTTAAAACATGTATAGTTACATATCACATTTTTTAATTATTAAAGATGTATTTAACAAAAAATAACAAATGTAAAAAAAAATTGGAAAATAGATAGAAATGTATATTTTTAAATTGAAATTGTGCAATATTTCTGTGCAATCCAAATACAAATTTAAGACAATATAGTTGATCAAATGGTTCAAAACTGGTTTGAACATCGAAAACCAGTACTTTTATTTAATTAATAATTGATAGAAATGATAAGGAAATGAAATATTGAATATCATTATAAATTATAGGTAAAAATAGATCCATTAAATCTTAACTGGGTACATTTTGAAAATAAATGCCAAATGCCATATATTTTTAGAAGTGGCATAGAACAAATCATGACTTTTATAAAGCCATATTACTATAGCCATGTGTATAGATTACTGTATCTCTAATTTCTCGCTAGTGACAATTAAAATAGTTTTATTACAGTAAGCCCCTTTATCTTGATTTTTTTTTTTCTTTCTTGAATTTAGCATTTAAACTGGCCAAATCCTTTAGCATGTTGAGATATGTTTGTACAATGCGTTTTGTGGCAAGCGTTGCATGTTTATTCTTTGTTGCCCTTTTACCAAACTGCAATGTGATAGAAGTTTTACACAACGCTCCTGCAACTGCAAAGTCTTTTTTCATTATCCATTTAACTTTCAATTATTCACTTGTATTGTTTTATGTTTGAGGCTTTTTATACTTCGGTAAGGTTTTCGTTGTTTACTCGCGTCACTCGAGTCGACTCCATTGCCGAGTTTACCCGGGTGAAACATCCCGAACGGTCCGAGTAGTTCGAGTAGTCACATGACATCAAAACAGTTAAGACGTCAGTATGTGATCGAGAGACAGGCTTTTTTGCATATAGGATGCCATATGCGACTCGAGTCAGTCATGTGACCAACTCGATTCAAAACGCGAACGGTCTGGTGTCGACTCGAGTGACTCGGGTGAACAACGAAAACCTTACCTTAATGTATTTTAATGTATATCTAATGATAATAATTATAATATGTGATATATATATGCTGTATTGTATATTATTTGAGCTTTTAAATAACACTGTATATTTAGAAGCAGATATTAAACATTTTTATTGGTATGCACTGTAACAAGAAATCTATGAAAAAAAATATTAAAAGTTACAGAAACAAAAATTACCAGGAGAAAGTTTTATCTATATATTTGTTTTTCATGTAATTTACAGAATTTCCATTTTCAAATTAATAAGAAAAAAGAAATTCCTGGTATTTTTTGTTTCCAGTACATTTTTAAAAAATACATGTAGGCCTATTTCAAATTCCAAACACCACAAAATAGCCCTAAATTAAAAAATTATTAAGACAAGTAGGGCTATTAAAAGTTTGAGTCATTGTAAATTTTAAAGCACACGAAAAGATGATTCTTAAAAAAACCCAGCATGCTTTGAACATGGTACATTATAAGAGAGGAAAAGAAAATCATCTCAAATATTTGATACTGCAGGGAGCCATTAAAATTTAAAGGTGTGATATAAATAGGCTAAGACTTGAAATATATTAACTTCGAACAAATTCACTCACTTCTCAACAGAATAAGCCACATTGAACACTTTGCGTGTGGTCTTCGCATATGCAAACAGAAATAATTTGTAAATTTTTGGACATTCCGATATTTATTTACATAAAATACAGTATTAAATCCATTATAAAATGAAATGAAACATGTTGTCCCCAAAGTTCACAGAAATTTTCTGATTAATACTGAATACTCCATAGAAATACACCTAATGTGAGGATAAAATTCACACTTCTAACATATTTTCTAATAAAAAAAAGAAAACAATGATTAAGAAAATTAAAAGAGTTAAATAACGGAATTCAGCCACCTAGGAAATGGATAATTTTTACAGTGTAAGCTTACTCTGTCAAGAAAGGCTTACCACACCTTTGTTAAAGATGTAGACAAGTACTATTATATATTTAAATATTTTTAGCTGGAGGTACAATATTGTAGTACAGAGCCCTGTTACTGTCACATTAATTGGCTTTTGTGTTTGAGTGGTATTGAAATTGACTGGTTAAAGAATTTACCCATCAGATTTCATAATATTAGGTAGGCCTATTTCAAAGAATTTAACCGTGAACAAAATACATGTATTTAAATTATTTTTTAAAGTATAAAACCACTTTAAAAAATGGATTTATAAATTGGGATTAGGTTCAAATGGTCTTTTTCTTTGAAATAAATGTCTTTGAGATGAATTTGAGATGGACAAAATATTTGAGAATTGACTTACATGTCTAAATATGAAGAACAGTAATCATCTGCTATAGATTTGTAAATATATAGTTAATTTAATCTGTACAAACTTTGTGTATTTATTTGAATATATATTAAAAATAACACCAGGTTTTTAACCAAATTTCTCAGAACTAGATCATGATTGGTTCAATTTCGTAAACTACTTTTACATAAATATAATTTAGAAATTATTTCACATTATTCAATTAGCATAATATATATTTGAACTTATTTCACAGTTGCATATATTGCTCAATTGCAGCTACCATTTCCGCAAATAGGGCCTTTTCTTTTGAACTACAAGATAGGGAGATAGCTGGTTTATATACCATAAAGATATAGGTTGTTATGTTTTATACAAAGATATAAATTGTTATGTTTTCAATATATTGTTAAAAAGATACATAATGTAATTAAAAATTTTAAAGGTCACTGGATATTACCAAATTTATATATTGTCCATTACAAAAAATATTACATTGTTTCCGAGTTTTACTGCTATAAGACTATTTGGAAAGTTTTAAAGTAAGATTTAAGTACAAGCAGGTCTAATCCGACCAGGAGTCTCATTTTCTTAAGACAAACAAATCTATCACAGACAGCTGGGTCAAGTGTCAAAATTACTTTTGATTCTGTTCATACACTTGACCATATGTTGCAGATGTTTGTCATTTGACTATGGTTGTACAAAAAACTTTATGATATCTAAAATAAAGACTTTAAAGTATTCTGTGTTTTATTTTTCGTACTGACAACACTATGACACCCCAATCCCAAAGTTTATTCCAAAGATCAACTGGAGTTAGTAGGACTGTCTGGTTTCGAGTTTTAGTTTGGACTTCTTGTATTTGGACTACATTAGTTTAATTACACAGACTTGCCAAGCTCCAGTGAAGAAAATTCTTGAGTTTGGCCGAGTGCAGACGGTGAAAATTGCGCGAGACGCATTTCCAGACAATAAATTTCCATAAGAGATTTTGACAATTTGTTATATTGCAGCTCAATTTATGAGAAAGAGTAAGCTTCAGAGTAAAGCCCCGTTTACACTTGGCCGCGATAAGCCTGCCGTTCTGGGCACGGTACCAGGCCGCGATAAATTTCAAGAAATTGACCTGTTTACATTACTCAATAAAATAACCGGTCTCAGAACCGTGCCAAGCACGCTAAATGTGGAACTCTTCGCAGAAAAGTTAATTTCAGCCCCTATACAAATTTCCCAGATGAAAACAATTATGATGGTTTATTTACTTTGAGCAGCCATTTTGACAGGTCAAGGTTCATTTGGCGCATGCGCAGTAATCCGTGCTCAGACTGGTTAGCGAAAGAGAGAGAAATGGGGTTTAACGTCCACTCGACACAAACTAGGTCATTTCGGGATTAACATATAGTGGACAGGCGATCCTACTCCTTGTCACGTACAACCGGGAATCGAAACCCCGCCAGTTGACTCAATGACAGACTTTATGATACAGCGCGCAGAGACCGGTTAGCGTTTACACTACAAAAATTTAAAGCGAGCCGGTCCTGGTACCGTTCCGAGACCACCTCATTTCAGAGGGCCAGATTGGCACCGTACCTGGCGCGGCACGCTTAAGTTTAACCTGTTTACACTACAAAAAAGCGAAGAGTGCCGTGCCTGGTACCGTGCCTGGTACGCTTAAAATTTGTAATATTGACGTGTGTGTAGGCCTATGTATCTAGTATTTGCAGATCTAGGCTTTTGAGAATGTCGTGAGATTTCTAAAATCTTCGGGATATAGTCCATATTTCGTGAGATTAAAGAAAATGACAGAACTGCTAAAACGATAGAAAACCACATTGTTTTAAATCTTTATTTTGGCAATGACATTCTTGCAATTTTACACATGATATTTTCTCGTAAGATGACCAGGATTCGGCTTCATACAAAATATTCGTGATCATCTTCAGCTTTGTTCAATTTTGCAGTTTAAAATACACTTTCCTGTAGCCGTGAAGGTGGGGGATATGGAGGAACCTAATAAGGACCTACGTCATCTAAATCCGGCACTGACTTTCTAGGACTGTGACTGTCTCGGAAAGGGTGTAAAACCTAAAATACTTTATGGGTGTACGAACCTAATAATAAAATGGTATTATAAATCGGTTGATAATTACGGTCTGTAGCCGCCAGGGTTTTCAAAAATTCTTATCTAGGAATGCGGATAGGAATTCGCGCTCTATCTCGGGATTCCCCAAAACGATGATTGTAAATAGGCGCGATTCTCACTTGCTGCGGAATATGAAGTTATAAAGCTGAATTAGTTCGTGAATTCAGTTAGGCAGTCGGGGAGCCCTGCCACCCTACTTCCTACCAGCCCGCGTACAACCATACAACTTTAAGCCGTACAGGTAATTTTGATGCG